CTTTGACTTCAGCACTGCCAGCTGGCTCGGGAGCCTTAGCATCCCTACCATTAACAATGGTGGTTGCCAAAGCTTCAACTCTTGCCATATTTGTATACGTGTCGCTTGCAGATTGTACCTCATGATCTATTTCAAGGGTTTCAGCTCCAGGTTCTAGTATCTGTTCTAGATTAATTGCCTCAGATTTTTGATCAGATTGAATCAAATTTGTTTCAACCTGGGCAGGAGAATTTGTTTCTACAGAAGTGGTATCATTTTCATTAGCACCATCCTGATTCTGACTATCAACTTGTTTTGCCACAAGTTTTAAGGTGGTGTCCACCGTTTGCAACAGAGGGACGGCTACAGCAAGAGCTGTATTCCTAGTCCCTGGCAATTCCTTCACCAACAGTGGATTTTGTGGCTTTTTTGCAGTTTTTGTGTCCAAAGGATTTGCAAGAGGGGCAGCATTCAGGGAGATCTTCATAGTGGATAGGTTGATGAAAAGTAAGTTGTCCAAGATGTATCCAGACACCATGGGGCAGTTCCTCACTGGTATCAACCTCAACACAAATACGTGCAACAGATGGCCTTGACAGGCTTGCTGTTGCAGCATCAGTTTTCAGTGGTTTACCAATCAAATTGGTAATGGAATATAAAGCCAGAAAATCAAAAAATTGAATGGGAAGACCTTCAAGACTAATCCAAACTGGAATCAATGGGGAATCAATATTTGGATCAAAATCATGAGTCCAACGGAACACTTTCAAAATAAAGCCATTAATCTTCCAGTATTTTTGCAGCAAGCATCGCAGAAAGTCATTCTCAGATTCGAAATTAATTAAGATGTGAGATTCATCTAGCAAACTTACAATAAACTCCTTTTCAAAAGCAATTCGTTCAAAGGCCTTACGGATTGAGATTAGGCATGGTCTACCCTTGGTGAATCGACCCACGATTGTGCGAACAAACATAGCAGCAAATTGTTGATTTCTTCATCTGAGAAGGATATAGCCAGTTGGCCTTTGTATTTCGTCGCTGGTTTGTAGTCGCCCTTGATAGCTATGTCGTTGAAGCTTCGAGGATGAGGGAGAGTGGTGGCCATTGCTAGAAGATGGTCGCCGGCCCGCCATAGTGGCGGTTGGCGGAAACCTAGCCGAGGAGAAATCTAGAGGGAGAGAGCATTATATATATATATATATATATATATATATATATATATATATATATATATATATATATAAGAGGTAAAATCATTTCATTGTTTAAAATAAAATAATATAATAGATATAGTACATTTTTTTGATATTTTAATTTTACTTAAAGAAAAATGCAAGTGTTAATATGAACTTAAATTTTGTTTAAAATCAAAGTTTTAACCCGTTGGGTCGACCCAAACCGAATGATAATGGTGATGAACATATAGTTCTCTACTTGAACCCACATTGACCCGAACATTAAGTAGTATGAACCCGAAGTAACCTGAAATTTTAAAAAATGAAGTCCAGTTAATGGGCCAACCCAGAGTCCGAGACCCAATTATAAGAGGAGGCTGTGGTGTTAATATTCCTTACCTTACGTCTTATACAAGTGAATATGATGATCTTGCAAATCTTCAACTAAACAAACCATTTGAACACAACACCAATGGCAAATCTTCAAAGAAAAAGTGTAGTTTTAATATTTTAAAAAAATCAGACTTTGAACTGTTTGCTAATGAGTCAAATGAAGAGTCCACTTTTTATAAAGCAAAAAAATAATATTAAAGAACATACCTTTTGTTTTTCAAAACCCACAAACCCTGGCACACTGGGCAATAGATATTCAAACATTGTCAAGGCTGCAAACATGCCTACTGGGATGTATTCCCTGCCAAATTACAACTAAGATCAATTAGGCACCAAAATGTCCTAAACCATGAACAAAGCTCACTCAGAATGGAATAAATTTTACATGAGGAACCATATACAACCTACCACTGCATTTTTTTTCTTTTTATTTATATACCAGAGTGCAGTAGCATAAATTATGAACTTTCATTAATGAAGGGCATATAGAAGCAAAATCCAAAGCTGCAGCATGAGTTCTCGTAGAATCCATTTCTCACTTCCAAAACCTATAAACATGAGGAATCATAAATCAAAGTTAAAAGATATGGTTACTATTAATAGGAAGACATATAAATAAATTAACACTTGTAAAAATGCTAATAGGTCATGTGGTATACTATACAAAATTAGACCTGTATACTGTGGGCTATAAGATTCCATGAGGTCAATTCTTACTCTTATTTTCATTTCTCTTTAATATTATTATC